ACACACACAAACACACTCTCACACACAAACACACACACACACACACACACACACACACTCTCGCACACACACACACATGCTGGCTGGTGTGTAACAGACACGCTTCAACACGCTGAGCAGCAGCACTCGTGCTGATTGTGTGTAATAGCAGCTGTTTTTGCAGCTCTAGTGAAGCTGAAGAAGGTGGAGGGACGCTGCGCTCTGAAGACGCCCTTCATCAGGCCCATCTGTCTGCCGGGGAAAGACCTGACATTCCCCGATCACTCCTGCTGTAAGATCTCAGGCTGGGGTCACATGCACGAGAGTGAGTTCACCAGCACTGACTCTGTAGTGAGCTGAAACACAAGCCATCATACACACGTTACATTCTATGTTTAATATATTGTGCAAAGAATCTAAAAGTACAAAAAACTTCCCACCCTGACATACATAAAAAAGCAAGTAAGTAAATAAATAAATATATAGATAGTTAGATACACACACATCTGACTGCATGTTATTTGCTATTAAATGCTAATGTCTTATAGTTTATATTGATATTAAGTACATTAGCATGTAGAGTGTTTTTGACCTTTATTTGTAATTTTCATAATTAATCTTTGAAATATGGTGTGCTGACAAGCATTTGCGATCAACTAAAATATACTTTAATGTCATTTCTGTTGAAACTTGTGTCACAGATTTATATTTGCAATATTGAAGTTGCAATTCAGTACATTTAAAATATAGTAACTTTAAATCTAATATTGCATAACACTACAGTTAAAATGATAATCAAGTTATTTACATGTGCTTCAGTATGTTAGTCAACACATCAAAATAAGTGTACTTCTCTAAAACATGACAAAAGATTATTAAAATATTATGATTTAAAATGTACTTTAAAATACAACTTTTCAAAAGTGCGATAAGAAACAGTCATGAAAGTGTCTTTAAGTCACTTAAGCGGCCTTTAATTTCATTAATAGTATATTTTCTGCACATACAGTTTTTTTGTGGACATTTCTAAGATCTGAAGTACACTACAAGTGCACATTCAATACTAAGTGCACTTGTTTTTTTACAAGGGAGCACAGACAAATAGGGAAACACTCAGAGAAGCATATATATATATATATATATATATATATATATATATAGTTGGCAGCTGATTGCATGTAGACGATAAACAGCTCACTGGGTTTTGGAACAGAGCTATTCTGTAATAATGTGCACACAAATGCATTATTGTTGTTGCATGTGTGTGTTTAGAGGCGAACTCGTACTCTCACCTGATGGAGGGAGTGGTGAAGATCATCCCGTTCGATCAGTGCTCGTCTCCAGACGTCTACGGGTCAGAGGTCAGGTCAGGGATGCTGTGTGCGGGCAGCGAGTCCTGTGTGGACGCCTGTCAGGTCAGACGCCAAAACAACACCAACAGACCAACAGATCCAGTGTCCTCATCTTATTTATTGGATTGCAGATTTGGATTTTATATGACATTGGTCTAATTATGTTACCTGCTATTTTAAACCAATATTAATATTCTTAGCATAAATATATAAATGTATTAATACTAATGTGTTGTTTAACAATAAATACTCTAGTATTACAATAATTTATATATTTTTGAACATATTTTAGATTTTACTAACTATATATATACTCACACATTGGATTACAGATTTAAATTTTTTACCACATTAATAAAACAGGCCAAATTGTCTAATAGTTTTAGACTAATATTAATATTCTTCATCTTAATATAGTATGTATACTAATATAGAATCTTCTTTATCAATACATACTCTAATATCAGTATAACTTTACAATAATGTACAGTTTTTTACTGTTTATGTAAATTTTACATATTTTTCAGATTAGGATTTTATATGAATATTAATAAAGCAGGTCTAATTGTTTTACTTTTTATTTTAGACTAATATTAATATTCTTAGTATAAATATAAATTTATAAATATGTAATTTTTTTATAAATATTTATTTTTATAAATGTTATAAATATATTAATAGCAATATAGAATATTATTTATCAATAAATTCAATAAATTATCAATAAATTCTCTAATTGTTTTACTTTTTTAGACTAATATTAACACACACACACACACACATATATATATATATATAAATAAATAATTCTGTTTTGAACAATTTTTGCAATTTACCAAAAAAATAATGGAATGCAGATTTGGATATGACATTAATAAAGCTGGTCTAATTGTTATTGTTTAAGATTAATATTAATATAATTAGTATTAATATATACATTGATATAGAATAAATGCTCTCATATCTATGGAAGCCCGTTTCTGCCATTGCAAAAAAAAAACAACAAAAAAAAAAAGTATAAAAAAAATGTAACAAGTATTAAAATAATTGCAATTTTTTTTTTTATCTCAAAATTCTCAGAATTGCGAGATATAAATTCACAATTGCAAGTCACAAAGTCAGAATTGTGTTTATATATTCCACAAGTCTGACTTTATAACTTGCAATTTTGAGAAAAAAGTCAGAATTTTGAGAAAAAATTTCGCAATTACCTTTTTGTATTTTTTATTCAGAGCCACAAACATGCTTCCATAGCTATCAGTATTACTTTACAGTAACTGAATTGGGTTACACTTTATTTTAAGGTGTCCTTGTTACAGCGTAATTATACATTTAAGTACTGAGTAATATTAATTAACTACATGTATTTACTATATGATTAGGTTTAGGGTTACTTGCATGCAATTACGCATACTTAAGTGTGACTATAATAGTAAGTACATGTAACATGTGTAACAAGGACACCTTAAAATAAAGTGTTACCTTTAATAGCTCGTAGTGTTTGAACAGATGTGTGTGTGATGTGTTCAGGGCGACTCGGGCGGTCCGTTAGCGTGCGACTGCGACGGCGTGAGTTTCCTCTATGGGATCATCAGCTGGGGAGACGGATGCGGACGCTCGGGAAAACCCGGCGTTTACACCCTCGTGCCCAAATATTCAGACTGGATCAACAGCGTCATCAAAAAATCCAGAAAAACATCAGTGAACAGAACAACCATAGACATTTGCATCGGGAGCCAGTGCCAAAGATAAACCATAAAACACAACTGTGACTTTATTACTAATGCATTCATGAGGGCTCTCCATTCCAGTGTTCATGCAATACCAATGAGCGTGTTTTATTGCTATTGTGTTTATGTTAACAAGCAGTAGGGTGACATGCACACTGGAATGGAAAGCGTTATGTAAAGTTTGATGTATTATTATTATTATTATTATATATTTTTTGCATATAGATACATTTTGAGTAGAAGATTGCTGTGAAATAAATGTCTTTTAATCTGCAAAAAATATTTAAAAAAGAGAGGTTTTGACAGTGTTTGAGTGAATGGAAAGATGTAGTTTCAATGCAACAGCTTGCTGTTAAATCACAGCTTTTAGTTATTTATTATATATTATAAGCATAAACTAAGTGCGTTGAAGCATCTTCTCCACTGACTTCCATTCAAACAGGTCTCTATGCTGAATTGCTATTAATCTGACAGAGTGGCCAAATAATAGATCATCTATGTATTAATGTGTATCATATTTCAACACAAAATTTACAGAAATTATATGTTGCATATTAAGTCTATTTTTCATACCGTGTTATATGCATTGTGATGTTTCCATAACATTTCCTCAGTTTTCATTGCTTAAATGTTAATAAACTTTTGAGTTTTGCTTGTAATTCAGTAATTTAATTATTATCTAAACTTATTTCTATTAGATTGTCATAACTGTAATATAGTAATGAAAATTACCGTATTATTATTTTTTTTATTCGTTGTATAGTATTTATAGGGCATTTAAAAAAAAACACAAAGTACAAAGTGTTCTATTATTAATGTTGTGTTTCAATAATGCAACCAAATGTTATCATTACAGTAATTTAATAAAGTATTATTAGTCCCATTTTCTTTAAAGCTTCATTTTATTTTATTATTTTTTTACATTTTTATTTATTTTTGAGATATTCACCTTTGTATTGCTTAGAAATGTGTGCAAAATTATAACAGTGACACGCACAAAGACAATTTTTACCTGATCTGATCATTAAAAGTGACCTTTCAGATGTAGTAATATAATTCGGTTGTTTCAGTAATACTAAAATCAGATACTACAAGAATCACATTTGTTACATGACCATCAATCAATCAGTCATGTATTTATATTAGATTTTTTATATTTTATTTATCTTATTTATACTCACTGAAGGTGAGTATCACTGATATCAATACTACCGATGTCTCTAGGATTGTTTTCCCCCTAATATTTAACCACTGACTAGCCAGTCAACATTACAGTGTAATTGAGAGCTATCAATTTTAACATTTAGTAGACTTTACAAAATAACAAATTCTAATTTAAATGAACTTAAAACAATCTTCACATAAACCCATTATAATAAATGTCATATTTAGCTACATGTGACCTTCAGCGAGTTGGAGATATACAGAAATTGAATAAAGTTATCAAACACTACATTCTAAATTCTAAATTAAATATAGTTGAATCCTTAAAGCTACAAAAGGTATTGATTTCCTCTTTTTTTTCTTTTGTTCTTTGATGAACACACGTCACAACAGCTGGTTATTAAGTTATTTTGGCTGCTTTAAGATCTGCCTCTCCTGAACATGAAGCGGATCTGACACGCCTCATATTTTCTCATAAAACTTTACCTTTTCTGACCCACGTCAGGTCTTAAAGTCTCTATAATGAGCTGAGGAGTTGAATCGGGTGTGTTAGATGAGGGAGACAGTGCTGGGCTGCTCCAGGACAGTTTTGAAAAACACTGCATTTCAGAGACATGATCTTAAATATAACTCATATAACAAATACTTACATGCATGCACAGTTTTAAGGCAGCTTTAATCACCTTTTTGGTAACTTCATGACTTAACTGATGACATAAATATGACTTTGCATGCTCGTAGTTTCTTTTGCGCTTTAATATGAAATGAAACAGGCTACAGTGCACACCACCGCATTTGTGCGTGCAATTGAAGAGCAAGTGCAACCAGCACAGTATACTGACAGGACAAGAAAAACATCGGTTTTACCTGACAGCATCTCATCTGAGCGCAGTTCACTGTTGTTCTACTGAAGCTCCTTTGTCACCTGTACATTTTCTGCGCTCGTTTGACTCGCGCCTGGCGCTGAGGCTAAATAAACGCAGTTCTTGTCCAAAGAAGAGACAGAAGCAGCATGTGCGTAGTTATGTGTGTGTGTTTGCCTTTTTGTTTTGATTATGCAAACCCTTTGTTTCAAAGTTAGTGCTAACAGGTTTAATCCTGCCTGCATTCCCTCATCACATCACACAAAGAGAAGCTGTTACTGTGCAGATGTGATTTACTGCAGTGTGGAGCCAATGGCATCAGGATCACTTACTAGAGCTCTCTAGTTAGTGCTGTTTGCCAAGACAAGGAGGCTATTGTTCATTTGTTGGATTAAGGATTTAAACAAATCTTGAACTAAAACTTTTCTAAGACTTTTGATTTTCACTTGTCAGATGAATATAAGGAGCCATGTATATCCTTCCGAAAACATAAATGTCCAGTGTGAGTATGTTGTTCACAGCTGAATGAATGCTACATGAACATCATGCGTTTATTGTGAGTATGGCAATAAAATGAAGAAAAGTCTCAATTGAAAACCACTGCATTTCAGAGACATGATCTTAAATATAACTCATATAACAAATACTTACATGCATGCACAGTTTTAAGGCAGCTTTAATCACCTTTTTGGTAACTTCATGACTTAACTGATGACATAAATATGACTTTGCATGCTCGTAGTTTCTTTTGCGCTTTAATATGAAATGAAACAGGCTACAGTGCACACCACCGCATTTGTGCGTGCAATTGAAGAGCAAGTGCAACCAGCACAGTATACTGACAGGACAAGAAAAACATCGGTTTTACCTGACAGCATCTCATCTGAGCGCAGTTCACTGTTGTTCTACTGAAGCTCCTTTGTCACCTGTACATTTTCTGCGCTCGTTTGACTCGCGCCTGGCGCTGAGGCTAAATAAACGCAGTTCTTGTCCAAAGAAGAGACAGAAGCAGCATGTGCGTAGTTATGTGTGTGTGTTTGCCTTTTTGTTTTGATTATGCAAACCCTTTGTTTCAAAGTTAGTGCTAACAGGTTTAATCCTGCCTGCATTCCCTCATCACATCACACAAAGAGAAGCTGTTACTGTGCAGATGTGATTTACTGCAGTGTGGAGCCAATGGCATCAGGATCACTTACTAGAGCTCTCTAGTTAGTGCTGTTTGCCAAGACAAGGAGGCTATTGTTCATTTGTTGGATTAAGGATTTAAACAAATCTTGAACTAAAACTTTTCTAAGACTTTTGATTTTCACTTGTCAGATGAATATAAGGAGCCATGTATATCCTTCCGAAAACATAAATGTCCAGTGTGAGTGTGTTGTTCACAGCTGAATGAATGCTACATGAACATCATGCGTTTATTGTGAGTATGGCAATAAAATGAAGAAAAGTCTCAATATTTTTTAGCTTTTTGATTAAATGCAATATCAATGAGTCAATATTTTGCTAGTTATCATGATCCAGTCAGCTTCTTCTGGTAGATACCAGAATCCAGTCTGTGAGTTGCTTAATGACGTGTAAAGTTTGAAGAAATTTTTTTAGGCTGAGGGAAAAATATACCAACTAACTGGCCAAATTTTGAAATATAAGTTCCCTTTCATGGGAACTTCGAACTGCGTCCTCTAGGGGTCGCTATGGGGAACGCCTCGTCGTGACCCGTGTCTGAAGCATACATTGAAAAAACACCAACTCGTTGGCCGGCGACAGCCATGACGTCACTACCGGTGCGACTATAGTATAAATAGGCGCCGGGAGCACACATCATTCTCTTCTTCGTCTTCATTGACTGTTCTGTTTGAAGCGTGCATTTCCAAGGAAAAAGTAAGAGCTATCTCTATTTATTATGGCGAGCACTAGCAGAGCATTTAGAAGGTGTGTGCATCCGTGTCATCGCTATTTGACACCAGATGACACACACAATCTATGTGTTGTTTGTTTGGGCGAAGAGCACGCACGCGATGTCCTCAAGGGGGCAATCTGCGTGCATTGCGAGTTTTTTCCAATGAAAAAGCTCCGTTCTCGTTTGTCTCTCTTTTCAAGTAAAGAGGGGCAGCCATCTGCTTCCCGCGGTTCAGGACCCGCTGCTGCTGAGGCACGGAGGAGAATGAGCTCGTGGGGATCTCAGGTGGACCTGGCCGATGAGTTTAGAGAGGGGCTTTCCTTCTCGCGCTCATCGGCGGCGGGCGAGAGACAGCCGCTGGAGGATGATGTTCCCCCTTTGACATCATCTGATCCAGGGGCCCCATGCTGCGGACGCAAGCTTCAGACGAAGAAGTGAATTATGTGTGCTCCCGGCGCCTATTTATACTATTGTTGCACTGGTAGTGACGTCATGGCTGTCGCCGGCCAACGAGTTGGTGTTTTTTCAATGTATGCTTCAGACACGGGTCGCGACGAGGCGTTCCCCATAGCGACCCCTAGAGGACGCAGTGTCTCGTTCCCTACTCAGGGAACCATGGTTACATAAGTAACCTGAGACGATTTCTTGTATCACTCAGTCGTATAGCATTGGTAAGCAGACGTAGAGCGTGCCGAAACTACTGTGTTGGGGCTGTTTACACGACACTGTTCTTAACTAAAAATGGAAAACGTTTTGGTCATTCATTTACACAACAAGGCATTTTGGGGGCCTGAAAATGCAAACTTTTGAAAACAGGTTTAAAAGTGTATGTTTTTGAAAACTATAATGTTATCGCTTCCGTGTGAACAATAAAAATGTGACGTCACACACACACACGTATTACGTGTTCAGTCTATACTGTATGTACAGTATGTGTGTAGTGTTTCTTTACAAAGATTTATGTGAATGGGGATCATTTTGACAATGTATGTATGCAAAAGTTTTCTATTTTTATAACATTGTTGTTGTGTAAATGTACCCTTAGTGTGTGTGTATACTGAGATTTCATGAATGCTCACTTTGCTCAGTATGCGGCAGTGAGATGACTTGTGATGCTCTGAATAGTTGAATTGGTTTGGAACAGCATTCAAAACAGTTGCTTTGTTGGCTTGCTTGATTGAATGTGATTGTGTGTTTGTGTGTGTGTGTGTGGTCACAGCTGACAGTGTTTCTGTGGTTGTGAAGCCTCCTCTGGGTTTGGGTGGTCTTGTTTGTAGAGTGATGGACGTCTCTGCTCACTGACCTCCAGCTCATCAAACTTCATCAGATTCCTAGAAGGAGCAAGTCAGACATAAATGACATCCACCTGCAAAACTGACACATGATACCAGCTGGAGGCACAGCAGGACATTCAGAGAACATTCATCAGTTATGTGAATAATGTAGAAAAAAAGAAGAAGAGGAACACTCTCATAGGATTATTATGATTTACTGAAACTAAAACCATAAACAAAATATTTATTTGAAATAAATTAAATCTAACAAAAATATTATTTTATTTTATTTTAACAATATTTCTAATTTTCGTTTAGTTTAATTAGAATTAGAATATGCAAACTAAAATTTAAAAACTAATAAAAAATATACAAAACTATTTTAAAATGATAACAGAAAACAGAAG